ATTTAAAATTGTTAATGAGGGCATTTTGATCTACATTATAGTAAAATGGACATAGAAGAAAATTTGGATATTTTTGCAAATGATTATATAAAGTTGACATTTTTTGTAATTTCCTCTTTTTTTAATGAAAAAAATACATAACTATTCAAAAGTGACAAACTTGTGATTTTTTATTTTATTTTTTCAAAAATTGGGTGGTATTAATTAAACTGATAATTAATTAATTAAATATGTTAAGGTCACAATAATATACAATTATTTACTGGTCACAATCATGGAACGTTAAAGTCATAAACTCACAAAATATGACCACAATTTATATATTTTTATATGTCGCAATTTATTTATCGATCACAAATTATTAAAATATTTGGTCACCGCTTATTTATCGATCACAAATTATCAAATTAATTGCTAACAACTTATTTACAAATCACAAAGACACAAATTGTAGGTGCAATTACAAATTTAATAACAAATCACACATTTTTATGTTACATATTATTTTTTTGTCACAAATTATCAATTTTATTGGTCATAATTATTCAATAATAGGTTGTAATCATTCTTCATATGACTCACTTCACTATACCACCCAAAACGCCACTGCCACCTCAGCACCACCATTGCACCATCATCATTGTACGAAAACGTTATTGCTACTTCACCACCACATTTGTACTTCCACCATACACCACTGTTACGGGGATTTGTACATCAACTCTTGCTTTTGTATTGAAGTCTTGCTCAATTTAGTGGCGTTCAAAGAAGGCAAATAGATTCATAGGCATGTATTATCATCAGGGTTTGGTTCGAATTTCTTTGTTCACGTCTCATTGCTAAACTTTTATGTGAAATGCAAGGAGGTTGCTCTGGGAAGGAAAGTGTTTGATGAAATTACCGACAAGAATGTGTTGGCATGGAGCGCCACGATCGGAAGGTACTCAAGTGTTGGGATGGTGAATGAAGCTTTTGGGTTGTTTAGGGATATGCAAAGGGCGAACGTGGAGCCTAATGAGATGACAATGGTGAGTGTAATTTCTACCTGTGCTGTGAATGGGGCGTTGGATTTGAGGAAGTGGCTGTATGCTTATATTGACAAGAATGCAATAAAGAATGACCTTGAAGTTAGTTAAGGACGGCAATAAAGAATGACCTTGAAGTTAGTTAAGGACGGCAA